CCTGATTCATGAAGAAATGTCAGATGTGTATTCTGTTTCTTTTGCAAACTCAATGTAACAAATGAAAATATGATATTATAATTTAATATAATGAAATGGTGTTTCGATGCTCAAAGGACCGTATTTGAAAGGGTATTGAGGAAACACTTGTTTATTTTTATGTTAAGCAGCCAATAGCGCCATCTCCCTGTTCAGTGTTGAACTTAACCGAGGTCACAAGTTCAGTTTTAAACAACCTGAGTTTGGATTTGAGGGCGTAGTGTTTGCTTTTTTATTCAACTAACAACCCATAACAGTGCACCAGAAAGGTGAAATGAATGACACACACACACACACACATTTATCTCCCAATTTAATTTAAATAGTTATAGTATAGTTTATATCTGGACTTATTTGGTTTACTCTGTTGACTTAATGAGCACTGTGTGCGAGACATATCTTTTTTATTTAATTATTAATTGATTAAATAAAACGTTATGGATGAACATGAATTGATGGTTTGTGTCTCTTTCCTTTATTCCCCTGTCTAGGGCTCTAATTACACGTCTGGATATTTTGGGAGATTAATTTAATAATACATCCATTTGTATTTAATTAACTGAATCAATTAAATATTTTCCAAACGTATTAAAAAAGCAAAAGATGTAATAGTTCAAGCTCGTCAAATTTCAATATTTGAATGTGTTTCTGTAGTAGGGTTAGACGTATCATAACAAGCAAACAAAGTGAATAATGAAAGACAAGAAGAAGTCATTTCTAACCTGTGTGATTCTATCTCGTGATTTACAGGGAAGCTGTGGCACATCTAATTATTAAAACCAATTAAGCTCAGGTCTCTCAGTGAGTGATGTCTCCACAGGTGATAATAAGCAAACTCAAATTAATGATTCAGTGGCTCGTTAAAGTTTGATGAGCGGCCCCCATGGAGTCATTAAGGAGCCTTGAGACGTTAATTCACCTACTAATCTCAGTTTAATCTATACGTAAAATAATCAGGAATATTAACTCCTTATAATTACACGGTTTAATATATTAATCACTTCCCAATTAAGGGGGTAGAGCTCAGCTGTTCGCTTAATGAGGAGCGGCCCACCCAATATCCACTGTATGACACACAGCTAATTACACCAACGTTTTACAAATGACTTCAAAAAGGTCAGCAGTTGTGGTATTAAGTAAACATCGACAGAAATATGCATATATAACGTCATGGTTGCTCCCATACAAGGAAGTCTGAGGTTGATGCCATTTGCATTGAACATGAAATAAATAAGTACCATATAAATGTATTGTATTAGTTATCTCTAGTACTCTCTCATCTATGCATACAAACTCATTAAATGTTATTCTAAGGGATGTAAAAAGTTGTTTTACATCACAGGATTTCTACAAAACGAAAATAACTAAGGTTTTTGAGGTTATATTATTATTTGACCACAAGCTGCTATATTTACAGAGCCTTCTGAATAAACTGAACTGCTCAAACTGCCTACACTTAAGCAGTGTTGGTATGAATTAATAATAAATAATAATATATTGTATTTAAGGGCGCCTTTCATGGCACCCAAGGACACCGTACTTTGGTCATTATTTCTAAACACGGAGGAGAACATCAAAGTGGACAAAAACGATAGGGAATTATCAACACTATTCTTGTCACACCAAAATAAATTATCTTTACATGTACTAGTCTATTTTTGCCAGATGTGCTTGCGTCGTGTAGTTTGTGCCGCGTTGAATTCACTTGCGTATACTTATGAAGTGTTGATATAAACTCAATATTAAATATCTAATAAAAGCCTGCTGAACGAAACGTGTAAGTTTCATAAACGTGTGTTTGCCAAAGAGCTTATTTTCTGCAATATTCCAAAATCCAATAGAGAGGCGAAGTCCCTCCCTTTTTGGGGGACCTCCATGGGAAAATAATAATAATGCATTACATTTTTAATTAGAGCGCTTTTACAGGTGCTCAAAGCGCTTTACAATTACACATTACACATATTAGACATGTAAGAGTCATTACTGTGGACATTACCCACAGGAGCAAATGAGGGTAGAGTGTCTTGCCCAAGGACACACACAGGCAGGTTTCGAACTAGAGCTCACCAACGCCCCTTGATCAACGCTCTAACCACTGCGCCAACCGTCAAAATTATGTACTGAAGTCAATGGCGAAAGAAAGATTATTGTTCGATCCCGTTTGAATTGTGCCACGAATTACACATATGATGTTTGTCAATTTAAAAGATAATTTTGCAAAAAAAATTTTAAAAATAAATCAATGAACTATATCTCCCGCCTCGCACCACACAAGACGGCCGTCACGTTGAAACACTTCACTTCTTTCTTTCAGAATGAGGCGGAAAGTATTAAACGAGGTGAAAATCACTCCAAGTCTGGGCGCGTTGAGAGCTGTACACACACACAAGGGGAGTTAGTCGGTTCCTAAGAGCCAACATGCGGGACCGGGACTCCGGGATTTGTAGTCTTTCTAGTTGCGTATTTTTCATAGTCTTAGATTTCAACGGTTTTACGACAAACTGTGACTTTTTTGACATGGAAATTATTTTTTAAGATTGACAAACATCATATGTTAGACCCTCCAGAAAAACGCGGGCTAAAATCCTTGATTATGCGATTAAACATGCGGGGGTTTTATGTGATTTTATGCGGTGAAATTGCGGTTAGTTGCGAAATATGTGGAAAGTTGCGAAATATTTTTTTTTAAATATTGGGCTGTCTTATTTATTCTCTCTCACACACAACCTGCCACTAACGTTAAACCCCTTTACTATTCAATTAAACACATTCAATGTTTATTTATTGTAAAAGCAATTGGGCTATTTTAATCACACTCTCTCACAGACACACACTCACACCACACACACACACACACACACACACACACACACACACACACACACAAACACACACACACACACACACACACACACACACACACACACACACCACACAAACACACACCACACACACACACACACACACACACACACACTTCTCCGCCTCATTCTGTTTAATTTACTCATTCGTTTATCTGACCAGCTTCAATCTTGTAGGCTTCTCACCTCGTTTCTTGTAGCCCTCGAAAGGGTTTTGGAGGTCGATGCCTCGGTGAACGTGAGTTGTTTGGCTTTCTTGTCCGCAGCAGCAGAAAGCATGTTCGAATGTTTGAATGAATCAAAGTGGATCGTCACCGTCGATGTTCTCTTATGCTCCAACACAGTTGCACGGGGTGCAGAATAGTTTACCCCCACTTTCGTGCAAGACATCGGGGAACTGCTTTGTCTTTAGCAGAAATGTTCATCGGTAAATGAGATGGATTAGATGTGTTCATCTTGGTGTTTTCTCTCTCGTGTGAGCTCCACACGTTCACTCTACGGTGTTGTTTACCTTCTGTGATGCGCGAGCTGATGACGTTGCGTCATCATCATCATCACTACTTCACGTCAAGACGAGTTAACTTTTTTTTCCCTCAACTTTGTGTGGAAAAATGCGGGGATTATGCGGCCTTTTAAAAATTCTGCGATCGCAGAATCGCGTTTTTCTGGAGGGTCTAATGTGTAATTCGTGGCACAATTCGAACGGGATCTAAAGGTAATCTTTCTCTCCATTGACTTCAATACATAATTTTTCCGAAATAAGGTCCCATGGGTCGGAAGTAGATGGGCGGGACTTCGCCTCTCTATTGAAAAGTCTCATTGCTTAGGTCACCCATGCATCACTCTATTGGAAAAACAATGTCATTACTTTTTGAGGTTTCACAAGAAGTGTTGTAACATTCTATACCATCTGACAGGAGAGCATTGACAGTTCATCCAGCTCTTCCCGTATATTGTGTTCTTACTTGAGTCTATTAGTCATTGCATATCCCCTTATTTGGAGGAAACTGAACTGAGAAAATTAAGAAGTAATTCAGGAAAGAACAAAGATGTGTTCTTGCACACAAAAGAAAGGTTCAAATCTCTGCATAGTCATGTGCCCATGGAGAGTAAGACTTAAGACTCATACCTCAAGAATGGACTAAAAAAGACGAATATTTATTAAATCTGTTGCTGGTGGCGAGTAAAAAAGCTCTTACAAGGAAGTGGTTATCTCCAGCCCAACTTTAAAAACGCATGGATGGAAATTACAATGGACATTTACAGAGGATAAAATCATCTGTCAATCACAAACTGGAACTGTTTGTGTCACGATGGAGAAAGTGGACTGATTTCGTAAAACCTCATAGGCCAGATTTTATTTTTACAAACGTATGATTTGACTTTGAAGTCCTGATCACTTCATAATGTTCGTACTTTTTGCTGTACGAAAAGACATTTCGGACCGACGAACTTAAGATGTACAATTACTATGTCTTGAAAAAACACTGTAATTGTTTGCTGCCAAATGTCAATACAAAATATATTTTAAAAAATAGGAATGTTTCATAAGCAAAACCTATTGTGTGACGTACGTGTGCACAAACTAGTCATGAGTCTTGGTCAATTTTTAAATGATCTTAAACTTTTCCCCCTCAGTTCTTGTTGTCTTGCTGTAATGGTGGAGCATTGGGGTTGTGCTAATACAAGTGTATATGTTGCAGGTGTGTGTGTCCTGCAGTCTCACCTGGGGGGTGGTCACTCTGAAGGTGGGGGCTCCTGCTGTGGGGGTGGGGGGCCGTGGAGAGATGTTGTTCTGGGCCTGAGCTTGAGCCTGAGCCTGAGCCTGGGCCAACGCCTGCTGAGGAACCATCACCAGCTGACCCAGCTCCGTGCGCACCAGCACCATCCCTGCAGAGGAGGAGCGTCAGAGGACATGTTTACAGGGGAAATGCACGTTTAGTTCTCTCATTGAAACACATTTTAAAACAGTCAGTCCTCTTGGTGATTGCTTAAAAGAGGACATTTGGAGGTGTAGGAACTTAACCGCCTTTAAAGGTCCCCTATTATACCGTTTTTCATCAATATATTACAGGTCTCAGAAATACACAAAACATGTCTCTGAAGTGTTTGGCTCCAAACACCAAACAGATCATTGCAGCATTACCCATAATCCCCTCTGTTTCAGCCCTGTTTCCAAAGTGCTGATTCTCTGTCTGTTACTTTAGATGAAAATAAGGAGCCCCTCCCCACGCCCCTCTGAGAGAGGTTTGGTTACAAATAACTCAATGGTGCTCTAGGAGGAGATTCAGGTGATAAGGGGGGGGGGGGGTTACCTTGGATGGTGATTGGCTAATGGTTACACAAGACAAAACATCGTTATGACATCATAAAGTGGCCAAAATCTGATCAGCTCATTTTCAGGTTTTTATAGAAATGGATCAAAAAGAGAGAGAATCTTTGTTCCTGAAACTTTCAGAGTCTCTTTCCACAGAGGGGACACATGTTGATGTAGAAGAGACATGAAGAAGAGGGGACACATGTTGATGTAGAAGAGACATGAAGAAGAGGGGACACATGTTGATGTAGAAGAGACATGAAGAAGAGGGGACACATGTTGATGTAGAAGAGACGTGAAGAAGAGGGGACACATGTTGATGTAGAAGAGACATGAAGAAGAGGGGACACATGTTGATGTAGAAGAGCATGAAGAAGAGGGGACACATGTTGATGTGGAAGAGACATGAAGAAGAGGGGACACATGTTGATGTAGAAGAGACATGAAGAAGAGGGGACACATGTTGATGTAGAAGAGACATGAAGAAGAGGGGACACATGTTGATGTAGAAGAGACATGAGAAGAGGGGACACATGTTGATGTAGAAGAGGACATGAAGAAGAGGGGACACATGTTGATGTAGAAGAGACATGAAGAAGAGGGGACACATGTTGATGTAGAAGAGACATGAAGAAGAGGGGACACATGTTGATGTAGAAGAGACATGAACAAGTGGATTTTGCATAATAGGTGACCTTTAATACAGGTGTAAACAGCCCCTTGCTGCAAACCTTACCCTGAGGGATGGTGAACCCGGGGGGCAGCTGGATGGTGGTCTGCTGCTGAGGGGGTCTCACAATCAGCTGGGGGGCCACGATCCTCTGAGGGGCTGCGAGTCCAGGACGGGGGGGTGTAGACTGGGTTGGGGAGGGCGTTGTGGGTCTGATCATGCTCACAGTGGAGGTCACTGGTGGAGTCTGAGCACTCACACATGGAGACCCTGCTGTGGATGTAGCAGAGATCTGAGGCTGGGATACTGTTGTTGTTGCTGCGGTTGTAGCTGCTGCTGTAGTTATAGTAATTGTAGTTGGTGGTGGTGGTGTGACAACAGAGGAGTTTATTACAGAGTTAACAACACCACCAACAGGTTGACCTGACATTACAATTTTGGACTGACAATCGTCTGCTTTGGAAGTGTCTGTGAGTGTTTTGCTGTGGTTCCCCAGTGGAGCTGCTTCTGCTGATTCTGTGGATCCTACTGGGGCACCCTGCTGCACCAAGGCCGAAACACTGGTCCCATTTTGGGCTATGCTCGCCACAATGTGACTCGGGAGTCTCTGCAGAGCGATGGTGGGAGTCCCCCGGTCCAGAGCAATAGCTGACTGTCCTGCAGGGATGTTTGCATGAGACAGGGTGAAAGTAGAAGCATTAATAGAGGACGTCACCGCCAGAGGAGCAGAGTTTGGAGTAGTTGCATCCACAGGAGGGCTCAGGTTTTCCCCCGTGTTGCTGTTCCTCCTGGTCCCTACAGCGGCGCCGTTCAAACTCTTGATCCGAGCAGAAGCGTTTCTCCTCGGTGTGTTCACGCGTTTCCCCGGGCTCACCTTACTGGAGGCGGTGCTGATGCTGCCCGGCGTCGATGCCAAAGTTGACACACCAGAAGCGGTCAGTGTTGTGATGGATGCTCCGTGTGACTGCGACCCGCCACAGGCTGCAGAAGTGGCGGTAAGATCGGTGAAGGAAGCCGTGCATCCTGCAGGGGAAGATGTTACAGTTGTATCGTTGCAGTTTGCGTCCTGGTGCATCTCGGGTTTATTATACCGCCGTCCTTGTTGTTGTTGTGCCTGTGCTGGTAGCGTTTTCCCTAAGTGATGGTTCGCGGGGGCCACGGAGCCTCCGTTTTCCTCTGCTTTCCCTCCGGGGTTGCTTTGTCCGGAGAGCTGGGACTCCAAAGAGCCCACCAGGTCGCTCACAGCTTTCTCATCCACCTCTGAAAACAGCATATCTTCCAGGGGGTCGGAGGCGCCCGCCATCTCTGATCACAGATAGCTGTCTTTCTTTTTTCTACTACAGTACGCATGCGTGTTACTATGCATTGTGGGAATTAATCTGACGTCACCATAACAGGGGGGGCATCCTGGTATAATTTCCATGAACGGTATTTTATATAAAACATTGTTCATCGGTAGCTGTGTTAGGAATGAATACATGTTGGTTAAAAATGGGGGGGAAACGGGCAAAAATACACCAAGAAATGCCCCTAAAAACAGACATCGAGGGGCAAAATGTGCCCACAAGATAAATAAATAAACTATGATATCTCCAAATATGTCCCAGCTAGTATACTAAGCCTGGGTATTTTGTTATTTGTTATTTGATATTATATTTTATCAACCACTCAAGCATTCTGTCCAAATAGGGAGTCTTGTAATAAGACAGCAAACATTATTTGACCTACAAATTATAATCAATAGTAGGCAATGCTGTGGCTTTTCTATTTAACCATTCAGGAGGGTTTTTTTTCAACTTTATTGAACTATTATTCCAATACATCAGAAAAAGGTGCATACACATCAGTGTTCATTACATTAACTCAACAACTGAGGGCATTATGAACAGAAGCCAGAAGAGAAAAAACAAAAACAAAACACAAGTGGTCACTCAGGAATTAATTTGATTAGACATTTGTAAAATTGTTGGGCTTTTTTACTTTTGTACAATTTAATTAATTGTGTATATAATGTAATGTCATTAAGAAATCAATAAATACTGGGGAATGATTAATTCCCAATTCCTTTACACCTCCATGGGGGCTTTTCATATTCATAAGAAGAGATGGGTTGACTCCAAACATAATTTAAACATTTGTACCAAGAATTAAAACAATATAGTAGCACAATTAAAAACACTATGAATACAAATGCAATAAAAACAGGCAGTGTATTGAACACATATTTAATATGAAATATTAAACTGTATTTTCTTATGAATTATTTACGTCATTATTATCTCCATGATGTGATTTATTTGTTGTACAAAATATATGATGTTCACATGTGTTCTTACAAATTGGACGCCGATTTAGTTTTATTTTTAATTTTTAATTTTTAGGGGGAAATCATATTCATAAAAGGAATATATAATGTTAATATATGTTCTTTAAAAAAAAATAACACTGGAAGGAAGAGGAAGTGATTTTAGAGGAATATGACGCAGCCTATTTTTTTACCCAGCATCCTCAGCGGCGGTTGAAGGAAAATGAAATCGGCCATGTCGTGGTAGAGATCTGTCCTGCATCCAGCGAGGCTTAATCACGGCTTAATTAATCTTTTTCTCATGTAATGTAGACTTAGAACCACAGCTCTGATAATTACAACATCTAAACCTCTCGTTTGACAGAAAAAAATCCAGTCAAATATCGTGAAAAACCAGATATTCCAACATGAGCGGAGGAGGAACGCCGTACATTGGGAGCAAAATTAGCTTAATCTCCAAGGCCGGGATCCGCTATGAAGGAATTTTGTACACCATTGATACGGAGAACTCGACCGTAGCTCTTGCTAAAGGTAAGTTAGGTAACCCAAGAGGTGGACTACAGTATTTAAATGGGTTGTAAATCATTTATGAACGGGGTCAATTATGTAAAACGGGTATTGAATCCAGCGCAGTTAGCTATGCTAGTTTAGCTCTGTAGCTAAGTGGTTAGCATCACTTAGCTTAGCATTGTAGCTAACTGTTAGCTTACTTACCACTCAGCGTCCTTTGTTTACCTTGTGTTCTGGGCTAACGGTAAATATGTTGCCGTTATTACTGACGACCAAGTGGTATACCGTTTAATTTAAACTACATTTGTAACTGTAAAACATATGGTGTTTGGAGTCTAATCACGGGTTATAAGCTACGTTATATTTAAGTATTTATTCTGAACGTTTGTGAAGTGAACTCAGACGTAAAACATAGACATTAAACAAATTATACGTAATTTCTTAAGCTGGTAAAGTAGTAGCGGCTTCCTCAAAAGCCACTTAGGTGCGACTATAACTACTTTGTATTAGTGGATGCATATTCGATCACTAAACTAATAATATGGACAATAAAGTTATAGGATAACTCAGGCTATAGGCTAATTTAACTTGCAGATATTTGTTCCTTGAAGAGATGAAATGGCTATAATTTATTTTGAACAATAACATTGTGCATAATAAGTGCCACTCATATATTTTTTACATACAGTTTCAATCTAAAATAAAAGCCGAATTAAGAAATATTAAACTTGAGTCATTTGAATTAGGGCTGCAACTTTTTTCAATACATATCTGAATGTTCTAAAATGATACATTTGTCAGTCAAAAACTCAAAGATATTTACTTTAATTGGATATAAAACCGAGAAAAGCAGGACATTTTCATATTGGTGCGACTGAAAACATTTGTTGTCGAGAATGCATGAAAAACACAAAGTGGCCTTCTAGTAAGCAGTTGTGTGTGCACCTGTTAGGTCTACGTGTTGTCTCTGATGTGAATCGTCCTGTGTGTTTTCCCAACAGTGCGCTCTTTTGGCACTGAGGACCGGCCCACTGACAGGCCTATTCCTCCTCGAGATGAAGTGTTTGAGTACATCATCTTCAGAGGGAGTGACATAAAGGACCTGACAGTCTGTGAGCCGCCCAAAGCCACTAGCTCCCTGCCTCAGGACCCTGCTATAGTTCAAGTAAGTTCATCTGCATCCCTGTACATTAAACATATTCTGTATATTTGATTAAAAAGTCACAGTGAATCTTCGGACATTTTAAGGTCATTTAATTTGCGTTTCATGCGGTGTGCACACTGGCTTACGGTCACAACTTACTGGACATCCATTGCTACTGTTTTTAGTAGCAAAGCTCTACTCACTATGACAACTAAAAATGTGTTTGGTACGTTTTTTTATTTTTCAGAAACATTGCTGTGAAAAGCATTATGCAGCAAAACAAGCCATACTCTCGTCCACAACGTTTTATTTCCCCCTGTAACGCACCCAGACTGTCACAGTGGGAAAGGCACAGGTGTATCTGATAACATTTAATTATGCCTCTGCTCCTGTCATGAGTCTCAGTACACCAGGGTTCTGAACTGGCTCACCTGAATATAATGCTGCCTGCACTGACTAATGTTATTGATGACACCTGTGCTTCTAATGCCAGGACAAATCAATATAAGCGGAATAAGTTAAGAACATAACAGTCACATTGTAGCTCATAAGTTGCACTGTAAGGTGTAGAGTGACTTTGCGCATGGATATTTGCACCTACAACAGAGTTCCAAAACTAAACTGATATTATGTTGATACAAACATTTTATTGACACTGAGGATTTAAACCCTTCCCTGTTCTTAGTTGGCTTTTTGCTGAGACCTGAGTAGCAGTGTAATATGGGTCAAATAAAACACCACCTCATAGTCAAAACCTTTGCAGCCTTTACTTCTGTACTTAGTATTTCTAATGGTTTCAATAATCATAAACGTATTTGCTTGTTGTCTCAAACAAGCTTTTTATTTTCATTTTTTTTTTAATTCAATGTGTATTTATTTTTCTAGTCGTCGCTTGGGTCCGCCAATGTTGCCCCGCCGCCCTCCTTCCAGGCCCCGGGGCCCTACGCTCCGCTCAGCAAGGCCCCTCCTGCCCCCTACAGCCAGTTTGGAGTCACCCCCCTGGCATCTCAGCCGTTTGGATCTGCTGGAGGTAAGGAGTCGATCTTATTCAAAATAACTGTCTATTATCTTCCTGGATTCACAGGATGCGCCAGAAACTGTGAAAATGGTTCCCACGTGCAGTGTGCGGAAAGGTACACGTCCCACCGCCCGGGACGTGTTATTTACAATATCGGACAAGTAGATCTTTCAATTGACTTGTCCGGTGGACAAGTGACATTTTTCGCCCTGATTTATTGACAAATTATTGATATATTCTGTTTACAAAAGGCAGAACTCATTCGCAAATTGTACGTGTCCGCCATTGTTCGTTTAGAAATGTTAGTTTCGGTTTTGCTTGTTGATTCCTAAGGAAATGCATCTCGCCGCTTTCTGTACAGTTAGACGGGGCGGGGCGGGAAGTGTAGCGCAGTGGCAGGGTTGGGAAGCAAAACTCGGTTCCGAGTAGGAACAAATAACAATTGTCCGGTACCGGGATTAATAAGAGTTGTGAGGACAGGAGGCGAGGCCGAGCCCCGCGGACTGCAGCTCTCTCATATGCTCCGTATCAGCTGATCGCTGTGTTGTTAATATTGACCGCCATTTCCTTTATGAAGTGAAGCAGCCTCCCTGTCTGTGTCCTCGCGCTGTCCTCACATCCCGGACCCCCAGACTCGGAGGAGCACAGGGATGTCAGTATTGTTTATGAAGCAGGGTATAGAAAGTACATTATTGAAATGAAAATACTATTTATTTACTTTTACAAACAGTGAGCAGCTGCAGCATGTGTATTGCAGGACATGTGTGGTTGGACTCTGTCTCACAGGCAGGTTGCAGTGTAACATCAGAGGAGACTGGGCCAATTGTACATTCTCAAACTGCACCATTTAGAACTAACTAAACAATGCAGAGATTATTTTTATATAATTGTATTCAATAACCGTAAGAAATTCAACAGTATGAAGTGATTTGTAAATAGGAATACAGATTTGACTTAATGTTTTCATAAATATATTTTTCTCCCAGTTTATCATGGGACTTATTTTGACCCTCTCAAAGAACCGGAATCGAGAACCGAAAATAACCGGAACCGAAAAGCAGAACCGGAATCGTTAAAATCCAAACGATACCCAACCCTTTGTGTGATGCAGTAAAATCTTACCGCTCACTTACGTTAACGGTGTCGTAAAAACCGTGGGAAAATGTTTAAATACAATGACGAAGAAGAAGATTCCAGTGGCCCCAATTTGTGTCCATTCTGGACAAGTGAAAAATGTATGCGGACAAGTAAATTGCCAAACTCACTTGTCCATGGACAAGTACTCTCTAAAAACTTTTTCTCACACTGACGTGATAACATTACCTATTTTTGGGGGCAATTGCCTAATTTAAGTGACAGGCCGACACAAGTTATTTATTTTATCAATAAATGAAAGGTAATATTTGTCTGGAATGTTTGAGAGAAATCTAAATACCCAAATCTAAACGTTTGTACTTAATTTGTTTCCCGCAGGACGCGCCAGTCCCGAACTGGACTCGTTGAAAAAACGTCCCATCCTGGAGCAGGCAGTGCAGCCCCCCCCCTCTTCTGCTCCCGCCCCCCCTGCTCCTGTGGGTCAGAGGCCTCAGCCCATTGCGGCCCCCCGACCCACCAGCAGCAGCGCAGGCATCCAGAAGCCCCCCGACCTCCTGGAGCAGAGACGCGGTAAGGACACCCGCTCGACGTCTCTGCTTCATTCCATCAAAGATTCAAGTCTGCTCAGTTTATGCAATGGCGATGTTATGTTTGCGAACGATCCGATCCTTTTGAACGGCTCTTTGATACGAACGAAGGGAACCGAGTCGTACCAAAGAGCCGTTCTTTTTATCGTTGCCTTCACGGGAACTTGCTTTCCTGAATGCAAAGTTGCCGTAGATGACGGCATAACGCGAGCTGTAGTTTGGCTGAGAGACGTAGCAAGGTATACATTTAGCTGTGAGTAAAAGTAGGTTTCTGGCAATACAGTCGATCATTATCCTGGTGATAGCAGATAAACCTATTAACCCCGCCCCCTTAAAAAAAAAACACTCTTTTGAACGGCTCTCAGGAAGAAGCGGAGCCATAAGATCATCACCATTATGCAGTGTTTGGCGTAGTGTTAATATATACCTCGGTAAATCATTTCCTCATCACGTTTTCTTTGTCTGCTCAGCTCCTGAGGTTCAGACGGTGTCTCAGCCTGAGCATGAACACGGTGCGATGGAGAACCGAGACCCCAACAAGCGCTACAATGGTGAGTAGAGCTACAACTTGAATGAATTTAATGCAACATTGATTCCCTCTGAAAATGGTGATTCTTCACATGTTTAATGTTTACTTATCTATCTTATTAGTATTATTTCTCCATTCCATCACCTCATGTCTGCAGAGCATTTAAAACATGTTTATTAAATGTATTTCTGCTTCTGTCTTCTAACACATTGGATGGATTAATGAGATTAAAGAGCTGGCAATCAGCTTAAACTGTTTTTGGAAGTTTAAAGGGGAAGAAACCTGTCCTCTGCATAGGTCTAGACTTCAGCCAGTCACTGACGGCAGAAGAGGGACATTTTGATGACCTTACTTGTTGTTTTTTAATTACCATTTGGGGATAATGTATTGAAATGACAGCATTTCCTACACTGCCTCTTTTGTAATAAACCCTGTTCTGTTGGATGAAGCTTAACCATGTCCCGATGTCTGTGACTGCACAGTTGGGTTTATTGGATGTATTTGTGGTTCCTCAGCTGGTCTGCAGTCTAACCGCCGTGGGCGCGGCAGAGGGAACCGCAGCAGAGGCCGAGTGAACGTACGTCGGGACGGTGCCATGAAGTTTGAAGAAGACTTCGACTTTGAGACCGCCAACGCTCAGTTCAACAAGGATGAGATCGACAAAGAGCTGCAGAACAAACTCAAACTGAAAGGTACGGCTGCAACGCACCTGAGTACTGCCAGGGTAAAGACAGAAAGCTGACTACAGGGTTCTTACGGTCATTCAAAACCTGGAAAAGTCATGGAAATTCAAAAGGCTAATTCCAGGCCCTGGAAAAGTTATGGGAAACAATAGTTTTCCCAAAGTTTTGGAAAAGTCATGGAAATGTAACTAAAGTTACATCAAATATAATTTATATTTGATCTAATCGCTGAAATAGTAATACTGTAATGATAATAAATACTGTATAGTAATGAAACGTAAAATGGCATTTAACTGACGAGGTGTTTTGCTGGTGAGAGATTTGAGTTGCTTTAGCGCAGGGGTGGGGAACCTCCGGCCCCCGGGCCGTATACGGCCCGCGAGACCATTTGGTACGGCCCTCGAGGTAATTTATAAACACACGCAAAAAATGAAAGAAATCTAGACCGCAAAAAAATTAAACAAGCGAGTGCCTGTTTTTCCTGGCCAAGGTCAGGGTCCTTGAACACAACACGAGCCTAACGTGTCATCACGTGGTATGTCTCGTCTGACAGGTGTGTAGTGCTGACGGAGAGCACCAGAACACCGCTCCGGCACTTCCACAAATTGCAGTACCCATAAGGAGCCGTACACATGCCGCCGTTTTTGCGTGTCTGTGTCTTTAGTTGAAAGCCCAGTGGCGATCTGCTCATCTGTCATTCTGATCATACAGTCAATAGCTTTGTTGTTATTAGCATCTGGTTAGGTCCCCCCCCCCCCCCCCCCACTTAAATCATGTTCACATGGATAGGAAACTAAATACATGTGCACACATCTTGTGTCCATATCTTTCTGTTTGGTGATCATGCCACACCGTGCACGTGCATGCGTCATCATGGTGAGATATCTGGATTGAGAGGTTGCTTTTTCTTTGCACAGCATGAAAGAAAGGCCGAATGAATGGGCTGTGATTTTAGTATTTTTAAGCAGAGGTCAATAATTTGTACGGCCCTCGGAGGATGTTGAAAAAATTGAAATGGCCCTTGAGAGGAAAAAAGGTTCCCCACCCCTGCTGTAGCGTGTGGAAGCTAGTAAGCCAACTATTGGATTTGTTTTAGAGAGGCACGACATGTTTCAGATGCAGACCTTATTTTCCTGTTCCATGTTCAAATAAACCATTTTCAGTGGAACGCTGAGAAAGAGTCATGTTTTTGGTCCTGGAAAATTAGGTACAGGTCCTTGAAAATCATTGGTGAAAAAGTGTATGAACCCTGTGACTAAAGCATACAAGTCAAACATTAAAATAAACGTCTTCAGCTTTTACATCATCTCAAGATGTACCCTGAATCAGAGTCCTGCACGGGTCTGATTTTCAAGACCCGCACCCGCGACGTGCAATACCGAACCCGCACATATTGACAATTAGTTCCGCAACCCGACCCGTCGGCACAAGATCTGCAACCGACCCGAACCTGCATATATATATATATATATATGAGCAATTATTAACACACGCAGTTGCATATTTGTCTCAAAAAGCGTGGGATGTTGGGTTCTTTCCTCCATCGAGGAACCAGAAGCCTCCCAGACGTTGGATTTCGCTCTTGAGGAAGTGTTATTGAAAATGCTGTATTCTCCGCTAGAGAGCTTCACCTCAGCCATTTTGGAATGTGGCGCGCTCAGCAGCAGATTGATGCGCTGCAGAGGTTATGATTATGCGCGGTCCCGCGGGGGAGAGGTCTGAGGATTTAAACATGAAACTAAATTATTATTATTTTAATATATTTATTATGCAACACCCAGGACCCGACCCGCATCATCTTTGTTTTACCCAGAACCGAACCCGCGGGTACCCGACCCGATGCAGGACTCTGCCCTGAATAACACTTAACTCTTTTGGTCTAAAGGCCGCGACACACCAACCTGAGACCAAAGACGCGTACCGAAGGCGTCCCGACTTTTACGTCCGCTGCGTCGGCTACGCCGCTCGCCTACGAACACACCGCAAAGACTTCAGTTGACGAGTGGCAATAACTGTCCTTACCAGCAGGCAGCGGCAGTGTGTGTTCGTCATTCAAAAGAGGCAACAACCGGACAGACTATACACCGAGAGAAGAAGAACAGGCAGCGTGATATAAACAAACAACAAATAGCGTCTGGGTTCCATTTTCACTCTCTCTCGTCGATCGAAAACATGTAAACATAAAAAAGAAACTCTTGCGTCCAGGTGAGATGAAAATGAAAAAGATTAGCCGTCTGTGTGTGCCTTCTTAATCGTTTGTTTGGGTCCCTCACTTCCGCTTCGCTTCTCATGCACTGACTCGCTAAGCTGAACAGCCAATCAGAGTGATTTCTTTGGCCGACTTTCTTTGGCCTCCCGCGGCCGACTCAACATGTTGAATGAAAATGTGCCGTAAAGCAACGACGGTGCGGGACACACCAACCTGAGTAGGGCGCCGCGAATGCCCGACTGCCTCTGACGGCCTCTGACTCCCAAAATCGGGAAGGTGTGTCAGGGCCTTTAAAACACAGATTCACTGATCGAGACAACATGCATCACTCCAAATGTTTGAGGGAATAACACAAGAAACATGGCATTTATGAATATGTGCTTAACCTAAGATGATAACCTCTTAGCAACCAGAAGTACATCTACAGTACAAATACATGTTTAGATGTAAAACCGTGATATACTTTAAGGTTTGAGATGTTTTATGTAAGTGCTTATAGCAATACATCTCCCAGCATCTGGTCACCTAATAGTCAGTTTCTTTAGTCGTCTTTGAAGGCGTTTCTAACGAACTCTTCTCCAACAGATGACAAGATTGAGAAGTCTCTGAATGGAGAGGAAGCTGCAGAGTCAGCAGAACATCCGGCCAGCGAGGGCACCACCGCCGCCAGCACCACAACCACCACCACCACCACCAACGAAGATGACGAGGCTACGTCCAACACTTACTACGACAAGACCAAGTCCTTCTTCGATAACCTGGGTGCTGACGATTTAAGGTACCTCAACATGTCCTCACACACTAACACCTTTTATCCAGAAAAGTCTGTCTGTTGTTCTGATGAAGTATCTTTGTTTCTCTCTCTTTCAGTAAAGGGGGCGATCGAGGCTTCTCAAGGTGAGTCACATGGTTTCATAGAGACAAAATAAAACGTATTATTTTCCTCCTCTTGGAGAAATTCAGCTTAGCCGCGTTCACATCGCAGTACTTTTCCCACTTTAGTTCCGATATAGCTCCGAAATGTCGCGTTCACACCAAAAGAGCCGGAACTAAAAATTAGTTCATCAGAACCTTTTTTACCCCCTGCTAGAGAGCAGGGACTTTCGTCGAGAAAAAGGTTCCTATGTCTGATTGGCTGGGTGGATTGCAAACCACGCCCCGTAAAACTCCAAAAACGTTTTGTGAAGCCGGTATTTTATTATCCTCCCATTAGCCCAGCGCACAAACGCAGAGAGACTGACTTATGGCAACACAAAAGAAAACGGCGTTCTGGCGATTTACTCGGAAAGCTTCAGTAGAGGCTGCTGGGAGTCCCAGCAGCTTCTACTGAAGCCAGTGCCCAACTCCGGGGACTTCCGTCCGGGGACTTCGGGCAGCAGTATACGCCGTGAAGTGGTTTGCGGCCTGCCAGTAAACCCAAAGCAGAAGAAGAAGAAGTGACGTCAGCGGCTTCATTTGCCTAATCCACCCCCAGGGACGGCCCAAACCGCACACTACCCCCTACACACTACCCCTACACAATACCCCTCCGTTCGCGCGGAGGGTCCGCCACATTAAGTGCTGTTCCAAACCAAGGAGTGTGGAGGGGGAGTGGGCTATCAAGCCCTCAAACAGCGAGTCTGCAGCGGTGCTGACTTGAGACCGGTCTCAACGCTGTGTGTCAGTCAGGAAACGCGCTGTTAGCAAGTAGTTCCAGCAAACATCCGCTGATAAACTGCGATGTTAACAACCTCATGATAACCTCATATGTTTTTAACTTAGGATCATACCTGTGTTTAGTCTAGAAAAAGGTAAATGTGTGCATTTTATTATAAAGTTGTGTATATTTACAGACCGTTGCAAAAACTAAGAAGCTTATAAACATCAGGTTTAAAACTAAAAGAGCTTTGAAACACAATGAAAGATGTTTGGAGTTGTATTTGAGTTATTCATTTAAACTTTTTGTCTAAGAGATGCTGATTTGAAACCGTTGTTACATACAGTTACGGCATTTCCTGTTTCTGCCAGAGAGAGGGGAGGCCGTCCCAAAGCTTGCTGCTGTATTTACTCCCTCCGTCTGACAGGAGGAGCCTCGTGTGTCACTCCACGGAGGGGGAGTGTGTAGGGCGTGGTTTGGGATTGGGCCTCCCTCAGGGACTTATTCCGGTGTGAACGCGATCTGTACTTAGTTCATGAGAACTAAAGAGTTCTCATGAACTAAAGAGGGAAAGGTACAGCGGTGTGAACGCGCCTCTTGTTTACTGCATTTCATCTTGAGTTCTCATAAGATAAGACTTTATTTATCCTGAAAGAAATTGTTACAAAATAGAATAACACAGCAGCATAATAACAGAACTGGACACTAATGGCGCGTTTCCATTACAGTCTAGTAGTTGGGGAAGTAACTATAGTAACGCAGTGTAGGCGGAGCCGTGACGTCATCTGCCGTAAAGAGAGCAATTAAATATCTACAGGAAACAGACGGTCACATAATTAAGTAAACATTAGTCAAAATGGCCACTTAAGTTGTATGTGTTTGAGGTATGTGTTGTCCTCTAACTGAGTCACATAGTTTCATAGAGACACAAATAAAACGTACTTTAATCATCGTCTTTGATAAATTCAGTTTAGTTCAGTGACATTTCATCTGACCTCTGTGGCAACCCATCGTGTAAAAATGGCCGCTTTAATGTCCTATAAACCTATATACACACAATCAACAGACACATTTATACATATGCACACATTAAGACATAAATAAAGCACAACAATCAATATGAACAAAATAACAGTCACTTCGATATCTTTGGGAAATATACATTAGTGCAAGAGTGTCCATAGCAGCGTGGAAAGTGTCTGGTGCTGGATTTGAGATACGCTGCTATGGATAGTACAAGATGCACATGCATGTTAACATGGCTTTGTAATGATATACTCATGGCAAAGTTAAGAGTTTGGTGTGTCCCCCAGGAACCACCCTAACCTGGCAAAAGCCCCAATCTGTTTTCATTCTAACATTATTTAACCAAAATCAGTTTAAAGTGAGAACGTTTTAACAAATACTTCACACATCACGTGTACAGAAAGCCATTTGTTTTTTGTATAGTGTCAGAGTGTGTGTTAAAGCCCCCCCTTGCACGTGTTTGAGTTATGTTTTGTCCCGTTAACTTGACTCGGATCTATTTTTCTGCGTTTCAGCCAGCGGAGGAATACCTGGGCGGAGGAGCGGCGGATGAACTCTGAGACGTTCGGCATCCCTCTGAGACACAACCGAGGACGAGGAGGTTTCCGCGGGCGAGGCTTCATGGGGCCCCGCGGCGGCAGAGGGCGGCCCCTCAGCCGAGGCTCCTTCGCGCCCCCGAGAGGACCCCCCCCGGGCTTCAGAGGCGCGTTCAGGGGCGGCAGAGGAGGCCGGGATTTCTCTGACTTCGAATACAGGGTAGGGAAACGAGCTTAGACATTTATTTATTTTGTATTAGTCCATTTATTGAGCATGTTAGAAACAAAACAAACTATAATTATAACATCAGAATACCTTTACTCGGGACATTGAGGTTGTTACAGCAGAAACAGCAGTGGGGTGTGTGACGTTGAGTTTAGAATTGAGCCGTCCCTTATAGATACTATCTCTTTACGTATGCACACACACACACCATTTTGAATTGCGCCGTCCCTTATCCTATCTCTTTACCGTCTCCCTGCCGACAGGGACACCCCTCCTGGCACGGTCCTTGGAAGATTCGGCGGTGTTTTTTAAATTTTCGTCACAGGAACGCGCTTTGCTGGCGGCGAAAAGAATCCCACCAGACTCCTTTGCCCCTCCAACAGAGCGATGTCCTTTTTCCTTTTCGTCATTTCAAACGTTAAAAACTCGATCTTCTCTCAAATTATTAATATTTTTGGACGCTCGAGTTCAGGGCGTCCCGAGCTGAATAAGGGCGTCAAATGACGGCAAGACGCCCCCCTGGCGAAAACGCTGGCAACAACATTACAATCATGTAACAAAAGGCCAGCAATCCAAAATGAAACAAAAGGCTAGGGATATGGCTATTGTTCCAGTCACATGTCTTTGTTTGGAGTTTTGTATCGAGTCCATTTTCCCCACTTTCTGCCGAGTTGTGTTTCTGTGCAATCTCAATTCATAAATAAATGTATTTTAAGTTAAAAAAGGAGATAATGTGTGGATTTTCTAACCTTTTAATTGTTTTTCTCCACCAGAAGGACAACAAAGTGGCTGCGTAGGACCACACCCCATTTGAAAAAGTGTATCCCTTCATCATGATTCTGTTGAAAAATATTCTTTGGTCTCAACATTTGACGGAGAGAATGAAGACATCCAGTCAGCCACCAGCAGCGAGGTGGACTGCGTTACATCGGGGGGGGGGGGGGGTGAGAGTGCAGCTCCCTGTTCTCCACTTTGAGAATTAGGCTTATCTTTTTGTTTTTATTATTTTCAGCCCAGACGTATTGTTTTGAAAGCAGCAGCCGGACGACAGCGTGTGAAGACCTTGCTTTGAGTCTGTTTCTGCACCGATGGGCGTTTCTTACAGACGATCGCGAGTCATGTGATTGATAGCTTTATTATTTTTACTTAATTTTCCCATCTTGTCGTGTACGTTGGCACCAAAATTCACTGCATTGCCTGTCGCACCGCGGTTTCTTTCTGCCCCGACTTACTTCGTTCGGTCGCCATGAATTCAGTATTTTTTTTTTTTTTTTAAACATCCATTATTTCGAAGTGAAATCAAAGCCAACTTAAAAATAAATAAAAAAATCTGAAGTGAATATTGTGATGAATGTATGTCTGAGGCTCATATTCTACCCCGACAAATTGTGGCTCGCCCTCCAGACTCTCTCGTTGTTTTATTTTAGAAATGTTCCTTCAGTATTTAGCGTTGCGTAGATCATACTGTGACCCCTCGACCCTCCAGGTGAATAATGTCTGCTTCATGTTAACGGTGGCCCCCTTAATGCAAGCAATCGGTAGGATCAATGGGGTCTAGCTTTAGTAAGCATTCGTAGTCTTTTTTCTTTTGACCGGATCTGTCTTTTTTTTATATGTATAGTTGACGAAACAAAGCATTCCCATGATTTGTGTCTGTGAAAAGAGGAACATCCGATACTATAAATGCCTTTAGAAGTTCTTAGGAGACAGAAATAATTGCGTTAATTCAGATTTAAACCTGCAGAAAGACCTTACAACGAGTCAGATTTGGGAAGAAATGCTCCGCTACGTTGCCAAATAAAGCATTTAATTGAGAGATGATCATTATTAGACGAAACGTATCGAGCCATCTCTTAAGGCATGTCCCCTTTTTCTGTTATCGGCTTCCTTTGAATTCTCTTTAGAGTCGTGTCACCTGCTGTTATTTCTCTGCAAAATGGATCATTTACTAAAAATGGGAAACCTTGTCTGTGATTTGAACGATGTCTCGAAAACGTATCTGTTCTGCCCTTCTTTGGTTTTGTTTGTAGCTCCTCTTGTTGCATTGTTGTCAATGGCATTGTTCTCTGGAGTGATTTCTGTTTTTTACACACTTGTGAACAAAGGGACGTGACCTGGATGTGGGTGCCAGTCGATTGGGAGGGGGAGGGGGGGGGGGGATATAATAATAATATTTCTGGCTCTGATTCGTTAGTACTTAGGGAGTGCCTTCACGGTGGTGGATTTTTACAGCTCTCCCTTTAACTTAAAAGTCAACAAACGTATTGATAGCACTACAAGGCGAGGCTAGATCCTTCTCAGTAGCTGTGGTTTGAAACTAAACGGCCTGTTTGAAAATATTAAACTGTGCTTTTTGACTGGATATATATTCCTGCTGATCACTGCATGACGGCCGTAGAAACCATCACTTCACACGGGGCTTTCGCAATAACCAGCAAGATTGAATTTGAGATAGAAAAAGTATTAAAAACTGACATGTTTTCATATGTTTGTTACTCCTTCCAGTCACTGGAATTGTGAACCAGGAATTGTTTTCATGAGAATATCAGCAAATTCAGTTTTTACGTAAAATAAAGAGTTGTACAATATTCATGTCTCTGGTGTTTTTATTGTAATGTTCCTTATCTGTCAACAGAACCACTACTTGTGCACTTTGTGTTATTCCAAGTTTTCCTTTCAAATAAAACCCAATAAGTGGGATAATGTACTTGTACACATATTATCCCGCTTATACATGACATTGCATTTAGCTGACGCTTTTGTCCAAAGCGACTTACAATAAGTACATTCGACCAGGAAGACACAACCTTGAAGAAAACAGAATCATAAAGTACATCAGGTTTCATAGAGCCAAACATTTCAAGTGCTACTCAACTGGCTTTAGGTAAGCCAGTCCTTTATTAGTATAAAAGTGCTTCGTTAATAATTCTAACGCTCGAAGTGGAGCCACATTCTCAACAAAGTAACGACATGACTCCCAATATTAATTTAAATGCTTTTATGGATTTAAAAAATAGTTGTATTGATTTAAATTGACATGCATCCGCTAAGAAAAAATAGTCCGTTGTTACACGTAGCAACCATAGGGTAGCAACGGTAGGAAGGCGGAGCTTTTTGATTACAGATTTGAAAACATCGTTGGTTGCTTTAAAAGTAGCACAATTCATGATGTCAAACCTTGGGAAGTATCTAGATATCCCTGCCCTAATGCCAAAGTAACTGCACACTGAATATGTGTCGCCGTTTGATGTCTATGTCTGGACCGCTGCGTAAAAAGGAGGGTTTCTGCCCCGTTACTTCTCCGCTGTTTTCTTGTTCCAGTTCGAAAAGCAAACTGTAAACAGTTCAATCGACCGGACTTCTTTCTGCAGATGTGAGCGTCCTTAACAACGGTCAATAAATCCTTGACAGCGGTCTGTCTGTTCTGGATTAACAACGTGTCACGTGTTCTGAATTGACCAATCAGAATCGAGTATTCAACTAAGCCATGTAATACTTATAGTTTCATCAAAGTTATACATTTTGCCTCACAAGTAATGTAAGAAAATATAGGTTTAAATTATTTGAATGGAAGAAAAGACCAACGACATATTATAGTTCTTCAAAAAGAACGAGAATTGTACATCATATTATATTCTATTCGTTTTTGGGATCAATTACATCCAGGGCCTTTTGGAAACAAAGTAGGCTACTTTGCAAATATAATTCCTGTTTATTATTATTATCAACGGTTACTTTTTTATACAGTGAGGTAAATGGTAAATGTGCATGTATGTCGTTCAGTATGCGTTTACAGGTGAATTTTGCATTTCCTGCCAAATACTAGCCTCAAAAAGATAAAAACATAATTAATGCAAATAAACTACTTCTACTAATAATAATAATCATAATCAATTCAATAATAAAAATACTATATTGTTTTATTATAATATAGTTGTAATATAGTCAAGACAAAACATGCTTATGACATGCTCAAAAACTGATATTTCTTAAATCTGTATTCTAGTTCCCTCTGTCAGCAATGTACCAACAACTACACACACATTTATATCAGTGTTTCTCTGTGTTGTGGTTGACATGATGATGACTGTTAGGAGTTAAGGGGAGAGGCTGAGCATCACCATGAAATGTGCAAATTGACATAAAAATGAATAAAAGGGGAACAAATGCTCCATGTTTTTTAGGCTGTAAACTTTAACTGTTATGTAAGCCAAGTAGACAGACAGTATCACTCTTCCTCCTGTATATTAGCAGATAAAAGGCATCACATAATGAATGAATGGTACATAAAGAATACTGGAAATAACT